TAATGCACAACGTGCCCCCCCCCCTTTTTTTTTCTTTTTCTGATTTTTATTTAATTTCTCTTTAGAGGACGTGGACGTATTTTTGTGAAAGTGACAGGGGTATCCATATTTATAAAAGTTAACATTTTTGAGAGCGTCTGGAGTATTTTTGTTTTATGTTTCCTGGAGAGAAAGACAGGCTCTCATTAAAAAAATTCTTCTCTTTCCAGCGCAAGGGTCTAATGTATATATTTGGAGGAGTCACAAAGATGAGGGAGACAGTGGTGCGGACAAAGAGAATTGTCTGCATGAGGGTGGCTGTGCCGGAACTGCTAGAGCTGGCCTGGGATGTGATCTGTGAGAATCTCCGGGACAGGTGGGATGACATTGATCTCAATGAGCTGGGCATTCCTCAATCTCTGCACTCTAGGATATTTAATTAACTTGTGTTGTACCGCAATTTGCCAACATCTGGTCAATTTGAAGAGAGAGAAAGAAAGTGAGAGAGAGAGAGAGTGAGTTTGTTGTGATGCATCTGTGGGGAGCTCTGAAAGTGATTCTTTTGTAATGAAAAACTTGCATCTTGGTAACCATTGATTTGTCCATGATAAGTGGCTGTCTGAGAAATGGTCTGTGTTTGTGAGCTCTGCTCAAAAATGGATTCCAAATACTATTTAAGAAATGATTTTGAGGGATGGCGATTACTGATGAACTTATTTGGAGCTCAGAAATGAGACATACTTGTTTTTAAGAATGACTGAAAGTGATAATGAAAACAGGTGGATTCATAGAGGTATTTTTATAGCACTTCTTAATAACATTTCACTGTCTGCACTAGTTTAGATTTCTTCTTTCCACTGTTCAAATCCATTTGATATCTGAAAACTGCCATCTTTTTCCTACCTGCATATTCTTCTTTTTACGATAAACTTCTGTTGAGAAGCAAAGCACTTACTGCTTGATAGTTTGCAGGCCCACCTCGTTAAGTAGGCAAAAGGGCAATTGTGACAACTGTTTGTGTGTCTTATGACAAAAAAAGTGAATTGTCTTTCCTGTGAAACGATTGTGAGAAAAGTAGTTGTGAAAGTGAACTATGATTAGATATTTTGTGTCTTTGTAAACTAGTATAAGAATAAAAGGAGAGTCCTCTTTATGTACAGGACGATATTTTATTATTTTAGATTTTTTCTTCAACTCGATGAGAATGTATTGTTCCAGAAGGCATTACGCACAGATGCCATGTTTGTTCAGGCGCTGTGGCTGTTTTATTTTTTTTGCGGAGTGCACATATAAGGCTGGTACAAAGTTTTAGTATCCAGCTTCAGCCTCTCTGTGATTCAACTAGATTAGGATCATGTATGCCTTGTCTTGTGTCACATGTTTGACTATGTTTCGTAAAATGAAGGTGAAGTGTTCAACTCTTTTCTTGACTGCACAAGGTCACAAATATATTTTCCTTGATACACTGTTTTCACTGTCGGTTAGATAAGTGAATCAAATTGTGGATGATGGCCTGGGATTGTACTCAGTTTAATTTTCTTTGTAAGGAGGCTTTTTTTAAAAAGTCAGTAAGTTGGTTTGCCTGTCGAATGAATTTTCAGTTGCGTCTGTCTGAGTGAAGTGTCAAACCTGGAGATGATATCATTATATATATTTACCATTATGTATATTTACCATGATTAGTTCAACAGATGCTGTCTTTCCTTGAACTGATATCTCTTCATTACCAAATACTCTCTCAGCAAGTTGTTTTGTTGCTTTGCCTGTCATTAGTTGCTGAAAGTTGGGCGTGTCAAGGAGGGTTTTTCACCATATGCCACAATGAAGATGTTGGAATGAAGCAGATGTTGTTTTAATTTTCTATTTGTAGAATGCTTCTGGGTTTTTCTGGAATGATCCAAGTCATGAATTATATTCAAGTATATAGAGAGAAATGCATAGATAGAAGTTTTATAATTTCCCTTGTATTAATGCTGTTTAATTTATAAAAAGAGTTTTTGTTCCCAGTGACAAACATAATTATATTGATACTAACTTGTACAGTCTGATTCACTGTGTAGGGAGATTAACATCTTTTAAGTTATCAACATCATCACAAACTTCAGACTTCATGGCTGTGACTGTACATATGTATTTGTATGTATGTGTGTGTTTTTGTGCAATCGTATTTATATTTCTGATTGTAAGTTTATATGTATGTATTCTTGGATTAATATGAGTATGCACATACAACATGCACTAGCACACTTTGATGCCTTCTTAGGAGTTTACGAAATTCCCTGTTATTCTCATGGGGAGGTGTCAACATGCAGTGCCGAATCCTTTGTACTTATACGTATGCTATGTCAGATTATGTTACATCATTATCAGGAAGTCATTCTGTTTCAGTAGTTAGAGCTAATTTTAAAATTTTTATGTGCAAACTATTAACAACAAATATTTGGATTTCAGCTTTGTTTTTTCGAGTGCTTGTTTTTCCTTATCAGTATTCGTTTTTGTGCATGCATTTTTGTTGTTGTGTGTTTGCTAATTTTCAGATGTTGTGAACAAGAATATCAATAAAAACTGACTGAGGGCCCGGTAAGTGCTGTAATGTTTTGCTTTAAACCTGATAAATAGTTCATCCATTGATTAATAAGCTTTCTTTTGGGAGAAATAAAAGGCAAAAGAAGAACTTTCCTAATACATATCAAGAAAAACCCTATTCTGTTAAAAAATACAAATTATCATCCTAATTTTTATTGTGCACAAGTTAAGGTGAACCCTCGAAGAATTTTAGGGGTGAAGGGTTTCGACTATTTTTCGGCCAAGAGGGAAATGCTATCAAAGGAATTTATATGATACAAAAGAAACATAATTATGGTATAACATGGATAGGTCGAACTCAGAAGACTCTAAATCATGCATCTATCAAATTGTGCCTGCGGCCCCGTTTTTTCTTTTTCTTCTTTATCTTTGGAAGAAAAATACGCGAAGCTCGAACATAAACACGGAATAGTCGAACTAATTACACTACCATGGAGGTGTAAAGTCATTGTCCTTTGAGGTGGACTTGAGACAAAATAAGAAGAAGAAGAAGAAGAATAAATACAGAAAAAAGCAAGCCTCCACAGAAGGAGCTAGCTGTGCTAATTTTAGCGCTCTGCTCGTGTCTAGGCTCTAAGTCTAGCAAGGCTTGGTTGGAGCGGGCGAGAGAAAGGGTTGTGCATTACACGATCTATTGTTTTGCCCTAAAGTAGCAATCTGTTGCTTCCCTTGATTCTCTGGTACAGCCGATGCCATAACATTGTTCACGTATCCCTCGAAGTGCGGATCCCTCGAACTACCGAGGCCAGTCCCGACAAATTCGAGCTATCCATGTTATACTGTATATAGGATTGTTTCATGTTTGGAAATGCTTTTTACTGAGACCTTATGCGTGTGATTTTAACATAGGAATAGTGTACATGTATTGATGTTGTAAAAAAGCTATGATTATTGAGGTTTTCTTTTTGTCTCTTTTTAAATACTCTTTTCTTTCAAAAGCATTTGACTGGTATATACCTCTCAAGGGAAAGGTGGAAAGTGTTTGTTAGTGGCCTATACCCTGATCCAGGGTGAGAAAGGCAATGATGATTATGATATACCTCTGTAAGTAGGCACTTGTGTAATTCGAATGTATCTAGTCTCATCAATTAAAAAAACCCAATTAGTCTTATAGTGTTGATGTTTGTCATAAGCCCCAAGGCTGCTTTGGATTAGAGGCTGCAGGTGTTCTGCTTTTTATTTACATTGACAGAAGCTATCGTCGAATGAATATTTTAAAAACTATGCTTCTCAAAGAGATAGAGTCTAGTTCATTGTGGATGTAGATGCTAGGATGCTTGAGATTCAATGGAATAGATATATAGTCTGAAACTCCTGTGCAGTAGACATGTAAATGAATGTTATTGAAATGCCTTTGAAGTGTGATGGTTTGAAATTCAATTGCTGTGGATATGTGTGAATGGCATGACAGTCAGATTGACTTGATGCCATTTTTTCATAGCTGTTTCCCCGTGGTGCATGATGTTAACTCTCTTCTGCTCGTGTTGTTTCTTTACAACTTGCACTTCCCACCTGTGGTTGAGACCTATAAACTCTGGTGTTTTCTCTCAAGATATTCACTCACAACTGTGAAGTACCCTGGCATCTGAGTGGCAATAGGAATAAATCTTCTGTGGGGCCTTGCGTGAGTTGATAAGTTACATCCATGTTTCCCTCCGAAGAAGTGTTGAAGCTCTCACCACATTAACTGGTAATTTCATTCAGACCTGCACATGTTATTGAATGTTAGTCTTTGTTTAAAATTGGCTTCGAAAAACTAACTGCCAAAATCTTTGCTTGATGCCATAAGTGTATGGATAGTGATTAGTGACATTTCTCTCCCGTGTACAATGTGTTAGCCCCGCGAGCCCATGCCACCGATGATATTGGTGTGTAAGTTGTTTATTTGCCCTTGCCCCGAACCACCGATATATCGGTGTGTGCTAGTCTACCATAGAACAGTAGGCCATACAAGGATAAAAAGGGGAAAAATGATGTCAAAAGGACTTGTAGGTTCGTGGTAACAGTTGTAAAGGTCAAGGCAGCTCAAGGAAGAGGGAATTGGTTTGTATAGAAGGCAGGCGGAGTTCATGGAGTGTGTAGCCATGTAGGCATTTTTTGCTCAGGAAGCCTGGGGACGGCTTATTTTTGGCTCAGGAGGCCAGGGTTCATTGAGTTAAGTTTGTGCACCACTGTATGTATCATGTTGAAAAGAGACTAATGTTTTGTTTTTGTTTGTCTCTTATATTTTGGTGTCTTTATTTTTGTTTTGTTTTAGCCTTACCACTTGTTCCCATATACAAACACAGTTCTAGGGGGCTCTCGTGGCCTAGAGGTTAAGGTGTTGGCCTCTCATTCAAAAGGTCCCGGGTTCGAATCCGAGTAGCGACCGAAAAATTTTCTTCTCTAAATTTGTCTCCTTTCACCTCATTTCCTGCTCTCTAGCAATGTTCTGTCGTCTGCTTTCGTCTCTTCTTTCTGCCCCCACCCCCTCACCTCCTTTGCCCCTTCCTCTGGGCTCCTGATTCTTTCTGCAGCCTTTCTACTGCTACTCCTTCGCTTCTTCTAACTGCTGTCTTTCAGCCACACCCCTAATCTTATGGTAGGAAAGATCTACACCTAGCCTTCTCGGACAAGGGCAAAAAATCTCGGAGGGCCTGTGTGCAAGTTGCGCACGTTAAAGATCCCTTGGTGGTCTAAAATCGATAAGAGTAGGCTTCGGCCGCCACCCGGGCAAAATTCAAAATTTCCTACCAACTGAAAATATTAGGTGTGCCCCGCGCGCTCATATGACCTTATACAGTTGTGAGCGCCGTAAGACACCTTACAAAAAAAACAACAACACAGTTCTTAAGTTGCTAGTTATGAGTCCTTTTTCTGCTTTACATTGTTTATTATATCTTAAGGTCAGGAGTTGTGTTCTTTCACAATTTCACGCACTGTATATATTGTCCATATGTATGTTTACATCATGTGTGGAACGTGCTATCTGCCTCAAACAAAGTCAAAGAGGTGTGGATAAAAGGAAATTTTCAGGGCAAGATGAGTAGTTGACACAAGAAACTTCTGGACAGCTGTTTGGTACTTGTAATGATGTTTTGCAACTTACCATTTGATTTTACCAATATACACAAAGAAAGAGGAAGAAGAAAAGTGAAACGAGAATGATGAAATTTTGACTGTGAACAGTAATGCAAGACAACGATGGATGAACAGCAGTGGATGAAAAAGTGTAAAAACTAAGAGAACCCCCCCCCCCCCCCCCCAATCTTTTGCGCTGCTATTTTTTCATTTTCCAATGCAGTAAAATAAGCAAAAAGGTCTGAGTCGAATGATTTGGTTTGTGTATGATCTTGATGCTAAAGAGAAATAGTCTCCACGCATCACACATCGTATGGCTGTTAAGTCAGAACTTTGTGTGCTGAGTGGCGCTGTCTATATGGGGTGTGTTACGATGGCTGTACCTGAAATGCTTTTTTTACTCCTCAGCATGTGCTTGCGTTTACAGTGAGCAAGTGAGAATTTCCTTATTTGGTACACAGCTGCATGTTGCCTCAAATTTTCTATGCAAAAACTGAGATTTTATCAAATTCATGTTTGCTGTGTCCTTCAGTGGTTGGTAATTCTGTTACCTGAATTCTTCCACAGTATCGTTTTGTTCATGCAGTTCTGTCTATGCTTTACGTTGCAGGATATGTTCTTTTTACCATTGCACATGTGTTACCCCACAATTTCAGTGTTTGGTCAATGAAATGGTATCTATATGTTTACAACAAAAGACATTAGGAGATCGAAAAGCTTTTGTCATCTTTTCAAATGCTAATAAAATACATTCTGCCTTTGTCACAAGGTGGTATCTAAAATATTATCCAAGAATTCCTTGTTGCACTGATTTCTTTCAAACTGAATCTGTCATTTCTTATACAAAATGTAAAGTAAACCCTTTTACCCCATTGTCTCTTCGAGTGGCGGGTGGCCACGGTCAGAGTGGTGCCCCTGTTTTGCCGAATGGTCGGTGTCACCAGCCAATGAGAATGCAATAGTTTCCTTCCTAATAAACACTGAAAACGATTTAATACTTTCAAACTGTGGCTGGTATTCTGTAAATAGATGTTAAATACCCCCCAGGGTAGTGCCACTGAATGTAGTCTCTTTAGGCCATTCCCAAAGGGGGGACATGTTTCTAGGTCAAACATAGTAGAATTGTAAATGGGCTGACTCATGTCACGCTCATAACTGTGCCTGATCTACATCAGGGAACTGCTGCTTTTTCTTTCCCGATCCTTACTATTGTCATTTCCTCTATTTCTTTTGTATGTTTGTCACTCTCTTGTGACCTGCTATTTCCGGGGTGCCTTGATAGTCGAAGCAGACCTTGTGCTGTTGAAGCTAGAGAGGTGAGCAGTCTTAAGTCTGATTCCTTGTAAAGACTTCTCTGTTGACACCCACCCCCTGGCGCTCATATGACCTTATGCAGTTGCGAGCGCCGTAAAACCCTCTACTATACAAAAAGATGTTAAATTTTCGCTTGGGGGAGGGGGGGGGGATATGTTTAATTGGTTTGTTGATAGATTGAGTGAGAAGAGCAGTGTTTTTGATCGTGTATTGTTTCAGTCTGTTGCTTTTTGTTAACCATTTCGAAGCCCAGCTACGGGTAGGTGCTCTGGTGTGGTTTGCTTCTTCTTTTCCATAGAGCATCTACTGTCTTGATGTCGTCTCCCTTTTATTGTGTTGCAAGTGCCTTAAAACTATTACTAAAACAAAAAACGTTTCTAAAGAGTATCCATTGCTGCAGGTTATCCTCGGGTGGCTGTTTGTTATAGTCTCTGCTTATACCTTATATCGAGTACCTTGTGGGAACACGCACCTTAAAAAAAAAAAAGAGTTGTCTATACTAGCTAAAAACAATATTTTATAAATATATTTGTGGAATCTAAGTTGCTGCCATATTGCTGGGGCTCTTTCTTGGTGTATATTATTTGTTCACAACGTACACATAATTCGTTTAAGGGTTTGATTTATTACTTTTGGTTCGCTGGTTTAGAACAAATTGGCATGATGATATGGATATATATACATGTATATATTTTGATATATCGTGAACGAGAGGAAAGGGGAGAGAACCTAATAGAATATTGGAACCGGCCATAGGAACTCGGCTTGGTGTTAAAACAACAACCCAGTCATACAGAATGGCACGAGACTGAACTTTAATTTAATTGCAGAAATGTCCGAAAAGTGACATCCAACTACTTTAAAAGCTAGAAGAAAAAGAAGAGAACCGTGCACTTTAACATCATTCTCGTTCTCACTGTGGAGCGAGCACACTACATTGTATTTGAGTCAATGTAGAGCCGAATAATTAAGGAACTTTAAAAAAACGGAAAGGGGGGGGTTGCCCTTCTTTTGGACGCCCATGATAGGCAACTTTGCGGCTAAGTTTTGATAGAGAGCAAAGAGCGGCGGTCACGACAATGTATGGTCTATATTATAATTATAATTCAAGTCTAGATCTGTGGTGATGTACCCAGTTCCAGAAAATTTCAGGGTATTGAAAGTATACTCGATGTATGAATCTTAGCCCATCACCACACCAAGTGCAGTCGAACCTGCTTTACGGCCACCTGTATAAGACAATCACCTGTTCAAACGGCCGCTTCTCATTTCCTCCCTGACGTATTTTTAAAAACTTTAATGACACTGTGTAAGACGGCCACCTATCTAAGACGATCACTTTTCTCCTTGACAATGTGTGGCCATCTTAGACAATTTAACAGTATTTTATTCACGCTCAGTCAGCCCTATCAGACAGGGTAGGCTACTGGAGACCAAATGGTGTACGATCAAACTGCAATCATCCAGGGCCTGGATGCGTCAAGTGTCAAAGCTAAAGGGTGGTGGTCAGTGACAGACGAGCAAGGCGTCAACTTCTCTGTCTTACGTACCCGACGGTACACGGAGAGAGTAAGTAAGCTGGTAAATTCTGCGATGTACCTTTTCATTGCAATAACTTATCGATGAATATTTTTGTCGAAGTTTTATATCCTTTCTTTTTGAGTGGGGGAGGTGGAGTAAAACATCTATAACAAAACAGCAACAACAACAACAACGACAACAAAAACAACAACAACAATAGGCCTAGGTCAAAGTAAAAACACCAAGTTTCTCTGCGTCTGTGGTGTAACAGATAGGTTCTTCTCTTTTGCGTGTGAGAGACAATAGGTCTTATTTTTAGTAAGAGTTTAATGGCACTTGCAACACAATAAGATCTTATAAGTGCCGAAGATTAGAAATGTTACAAGAGAGTAACAAACACACACACAAAAAAAGAAAAGAATGAGGAGAGATTACGACGATAGATTCTTGATAGGAAAGAAGAGCAAGGAGAGAGAGCGAGAGATAGATAGAGGGGGGGGGGGGGGTTGCTCAGCTCTAACATGGGACACAATGGAGAATTCTCGTCCAAAAAACTGTGCTTTAGATAGAGACTTAGAGCAGAGAAATGAGACTGATATTAAAATGTTCATCATTTTTCTATTCGTTGTGTAAGAGGAGAGAAACACAAGACGGAGAATTCTTACCATATAATATTGGGGGTTTTTTCTTTAAAAAAATGTCACTTTAATTTATCAAAACTATACTCGCCAGTAAGAACTTGACGTATTTTTTAACACTTTAATGACACTGTGTAAGACGGCCACCTATCTAAGACGATCACTTTTCTCCTTGACAATGTGTGGCCATCTTAGACAATTTAACCGTATTTTATTCACGCTCCGTCAGCCCTATCAGACAGGGTAGGCTACTGGAGACCAAATGGTGTACGATCAAACTGCATTCATCCAGGGCCTGGATGCGTCAAGTGTAAAAGCTAAAGGGTGGTGGTCAGTGACAGACGAGCAAGGCGTCAACTTCTCTGTCTTACGTACCCGACGGTACACGGAGAGAGTAAGTAAGTTGGTAAATTCTGCGATGTACCTTTTCATTGCAATAACTTATCGATGAATATTTTTGTCGAAGTTTTATTTCCTTTCTTTTTGAGTGGGGGAGGTGGAGTAAAACATCTATAACAAAACAGCAACAACAACAACAACAACAACAACAACAACAACAACGACAACAAAAACAACAACAACAATAGGCCTAGGTCAAAGTAAAAACACCAAGTTTCTCTGCGTCTGTGGTGTAACAGATAGGTTCTTCTCTTTTGCGTGTGAGAGACAATAGGTCTTATTTTTAGTAAGAGTTTAATGGCACTTGCAACACAATAAGATCTTATAAGTGCCGAAGATTAGAAATGTTACAAGAGAGTAACAAACACACACACACAAAAAGAAAAGAATGAGGAGAGATTACGACGATAGATTCTTGATAGGAAAGAGCTAGGAGAGAGAGCGAGAGAGAGATAGAGGGGGGGGGGGGGGTTGCTCAGCTCTAACATGAGACACAATGGAGAATTCTCGTCCAAAAACTGTGCTTTAGATAGAGACTTAGAGCAGAGAAATGAGACTGATATTAAAATGTTCATCATTTTTCTATTCGTTGAGTAAGAGGAGAGAAACACAAGACGGAGAATTCTTACCATATAATATGGGGGGTTTTTTCTTTTAAAAAATGTCACTTTAATTTATCAAAACTATACTCGCCAGTAAGAACTTTGGGGTAAACGTTTACGCATCAAATTTGGCTAAACAGGCCCTTTATTGTTTTAGGTTCGTCAGTTTATTGCTGTTTATTGCTGTTTATTTGATTTTATATTTCTTATGGTGGAGGGGTGGACTTTCGAACGAAAGTAAAATCGTTGGTAAATCCGTATTTAATGTCCTCTTTATTATAAGCAATTAATTGTTAGTTTTTAGCGGTCAGTTCAGCCAACTGGAGCTGTCTGGACATCACAAATGCCGTAGTGGAACTTCTCGAAGATAGGGTTGACTGCTGCTACAGTCGGTCCCCAGTCTGACAGGTCGAGTTTCACACAAGACATACCTGAGAAAGAGAAAAGTACATTTTGTAAGTTGCTGTAGGTTTTTAACAATGCTGTGTCATCTCTCTGTCTCTCTATCTGTTTTGTCTGTTTGTCTGTGTCTGTCTGTCTGTCTGTCTGTCTGTCTGTCTGTCTGTCTGTCTGTCTGTCTGTCTGTCTGTCTGTCTATCTATTTATCTGTCTGTCTGTCTGTCTGTCTGTCTGTCGGTCTGTCTGTCGGTCTGTCTGTCTGTCTGTCTGTCTGTCTGTCTCAGTCTGTCCGTCTGTCAGTCTGTCCCCCCCCCCCTCTCTCTCTCTCTCTTTCTCTCTCTCTCTCTCTCTCTGTCACACACACACACACACACACACACACACACACACACACACACACACACACTCACACACACACACACGCACATTCTCTCTTTCTCTCTTTGTGTGTGTGCGCGCTCGCGCGTGTGTGTGTGTGAGTGTGTGTGTCTGTCTGTCTGTCTGTCTGTCTCTCTGTCTGTCTGTCTGTCTGTCTGTCTCTCTCTCTCTCTCTCTATCTATCTATCTCTCTCTCTCTCCACCCTCTCTCTCTCTCACACACACAAATTCTCTCTCTCTCTCTCTCTCTCTCTCTCTCTCTCTCCCCCCCCCCTCTCTCTCTCTCTCTCTCTCTCCCCCCCCCCTCTCTCTCTCTCTTGCTCGCTCTCTTTCTCAGTGTGTGTATTGTTTCTGTATGCCTATCTTGCTTTTTCCTTGACATTACACTGTGGTTTTGCGCCAATGTTGTTTTCCTGCTTACTTAAACTTAAAGGTGTCACGACAAATACTTGTCGAAGAATTCCCATGGTTTGCATCACTACAAAAATCGATGTCCTCGAAATAAAGTCCTATTTTGGTAAAGAGTCAGGGTAATACAATGAGGACGGGAAAAAAATCGAAGTAAAAAAGTGGAGATGAAAGCAGATGAAAGAACACCCTTAAAGAGCAGGAAATGGGGTGAAAGGGGAACATTTTAGAGAGGAAAATTTTTCATCGCTGTCGGGTTTCAAACTCGGGACCTATTGAATGAGAGACGAAAACCATGTCTCTCGACTAGGAGAGGCCCCTCACAATGAAAGCCAATTGCTTTGTACATGTATGTCTACAAATAGAATATTATGTTTGTCGTCCGGCGCCCAAATTAAGTCGTCGAACATTTCGACTTCGATAAAATCGCACCGTAAGCACCCTTTTCGCCTTACCCTGCTCGCATCCGCACTTGTCCTTAGCCAGGCCCATCCCCTCTAGATCACAGATGTCTCCCATTTTCCCCAACTTCTCGCAGACTTTTCCGGTTTTGGTCTCAATGCAGCAGCCACCTGGGCAGTCAGTGTCGGAAGCACACGAATCAGCTGCCCATGTTAATGTGCAGAGCTGGAGAATAAGACGTTTGGAGAAACATAATACATATAATATGATAGGATTTGCGGAAAGGGAGAAGAATGGCGAGAGAGAGAGATAGAGAGAGATAGAGAGAGAGAGAGAGAGAGAGAGAGAGAGAGAGAGAGAGGGAGAGGGAGAGGGAGAGAGAGAGAGAGAAAATGAAAGAAAGAGAGTGACGGAAAGACAGACAGACAGACAGTCAGACAGATGACCAGATAAACAGACAAAGATCTTGAGAATGATACATGTATAACGTCTACCGGTAGGCTACTAAATTTAGGTTTTAAAGATAGTTTTTTGGGTCTTAGGTCAAGTTTTCAGAAGACTATTTTTCAACCCCTATTTATCTTGAAGAATCAATCTGTTTTTCGATACGAGTCTTGCTCGGTCATCGATATAATCATATCTAATCCTCAAATTAACTCCCATATTGCATTGCAGCATGACTTGTATAGATCTATTATTATATTCTTTAAAAGAAAAAGAAGAACAACAACAAAAACAAATATAAAAAAACCCAACAAAAACAAAACAACAACAAAACAAACAAAACCCTAGCAAACAAGCATAGAAAAGAACAGTAGGCCTTATTAGATTCTATTGTGTTTACGACAAGAAGTAGTCGGTTTTAAAAGGCGATTTATTTCACCGGCTCTTGACTTCTTACACCTCTTTTGAACAATTAAAATAACATATTAAAAAGACAAAAAACGTTTCCGAAAGATCAGAATGAAGTTAAGGCGTGCTGAAAGGAAGAGTGTTCTTTCTTTTGTCATTCACGGTATATGTGAAATAAGACGTACATTTTTTCCTAACTCTTCATAGGCTGACTAGGCTTAGAATGACTACATTGTTATGAATAAATGACAATTATTCTAGCCTATTCGCGTTGCTAATTGACAATGAAATTACACAATGGACTCAGCTTCTATAACTCGATATAGCTTGTTCAATGTTGTATGAATATATATATATATATATATATATATATATATATATATATATATATATATATATATATATATATATATATATATATATGTCAGACTATATGCCTATATTCTGTAAGATTAATTATTGTTTGAATCACTCACCACTGAAGCAGCAAGCAAAACAAAAGGGATCACGAACTTGTCCATTTTTCTTGAAAATCTCTTTATGTAGAAACCCAGAAACTTGGAAATATTTCTTTGTGACTTTGATCTACTTGTAACAGCTGGAAACACTCTTTCCTAAACACGACTTCTTGTCGAGTTCGCAGGCACGGGGACAAATCTGCGTCATAGGAACGGAGACTTAAGGACTCTTCGAGAAGATGATGTGACCAGAGCTTTCAAAACGATGCACAACTCGTGCTCCTACAGGAATAGTTATTAGGTCTATACTGTACTTCTTAGCATGTTTCAGAATTATGTTTCTCTACCGAAAGTACCTGTTGATTCATATTGTTGATGCTGTAACAGAAAAAGAAGGCTCAAATGACTACGTGATTACAAAGGAGCTGTTCTGTTTTATTTTTCCTTCTTTCTTTCTTTCTTTCTTTCTTTCTTTCTTTCTTTCTTTCTTTCTTTCTTTCTTTCTTTCTTTCTTTCTTTCTTTCTTTGGTATTCTACAATGTTTTCTATTTAATCGTGGTTTGAAAAAGTAATGTCCAACAAATCATTATCGTGTCATTGCTTTCCGTTTGTTTGTTTTTCTAATGATAACATTGATGATATCATATTCTTACAATAGTGTTTTGACGTGATGAAATTTTTATTTTGTGGGCGCATATGGAGTTATTGGTGTGAGCTTAAAGTTTGTTCGCAGGTCTTGCTTTAGATTTTTAAAAAAGATATTCGTTTACCTAGATTAGAAGTCCAGATGTTTGTGATTGAAGGAGATGGGGGTCGCCTGGAGTTAGAGGTGAATTTAGCGACAAATGAGCCGCCAAAGTTTTAGTGACAGCCAAAGCTGCAGTGTCTTTGGAAACTGCAAATTTACATTTCCTGTGCCTCTGACCTGCGTTTACAGTAAAAATCAGGAATAATGTTTCCAAATAAGCACCAAAGGTGTTGATCCCCCACCTCTGAAAAAAAAGATTAAATAAAAATTGCTCAATGTCGGTTTCTTCGATTTCATTGTTTTGACGAGCGCCTGATTTCCCAACTATAATATCACAAAACCGATTAACCGATTTTTAAAAAGAGGGGGAAAATGGAGAAACGAGAACAGTTTGTAACCACTGTTTTGGGAAGTACAAAACATGAGAGTCTCGGACACTGGTATGTTGGAACAATTAATTATTAAGGACACATTCGATTCATAAGATACATAATAATTATAATTAGATATGCCAATGCCGTGTGAGGGAAAGTAGGTCAAATGACCCCGCCCCTCCCTATCTTGGAAGTGGTTAGTGGCGGGAAAAGGGGTGGGGGAGGGACTAGTGTGTCTATGGTTACGTCTTGTCAGTCCCCAGTGAGTAGCTTTTTGAACTTTTTCATGTTTTGTCTTTTTCGTAAGTGTAGGGACAGTATCTGTGTGCGTGCGCACAATCATGCATGTGTGTTTGTTTGTGTGTGTGTGTGTGTGTGTGTGTAAGAGAGAGAGAGAGAGAGAGAGAGAGAGAGAGAGAGAGAGAGAGAGAGAGAGAGAGGGAGAGGGAGGGAGAGAGAGAGAGAGAGAGAGAGAGAGAGGAGGGGGGGGCAGAGAGAGAAGTGGAGAGAGAGAGAGGGTTGGGGGTGGGGGACAGAGAGAGAAAGGGAGATAGGTAAAGGGGACAAATATGTGGTGAGTAACGGGATATTATTACTATGTCTTTCCAGTGCTTCTTCGTTTTTGTGGTTATTGTTAGGTTGTTGTCGGTTTTTTGGTTGTTTTTTTTACTTTAGTAAGTGATTTATGGCACTTGTTACACAATTAGATCATATACGTGCCGAAGATTAGAGAGTAACAGACACACACACAAAAGGAGGAGAGATAAAGACGATAGTTGTTTGATAGGAAAGAAGGAGCAAACCCGCCAACCACCCACAGCCCTTCTTCATAAAAATTCTGAAGAAAAAAAGGTTTCTGTCGACAGCCCAGATTGCTACATGTACTACGTGTGGTGTTTCACATTGTCACTTTAAGTCACTGTATACAAGAATTAATTGTATCATGAGGAACTTTTTTTAAAGGGCAGAAATCTTTTCTCAAAACCTAGAGAGTGTTACATTATTCTTTCAAAGTAGAACAAAACCATTAGCAATAAATGCTTTCATCCCCACCCCCCTACATTCTTTCCAACCGCTCTCAAAATCAAATGACTCCAAAGGCCTAAAAAGTATACTTTCGAAAACACATGTGTTGGATATGAAGCATTACGTCTAACAATTTAAAATTTTAAAAATCCAACAAAACAGCAATGAAAAAAGAATTATATTCACCTTCATATTATTTTGAGCTGTAACACAACCCTCCCCCATCTCTCTCTCTCCCTCTCTTCTCTCTCTCTCTCTCTCGCTTTCTCCCCCCCCCCCCCCCACACTTTCTCTCTGTAGTGTGTCCGGGAAGAAAACAAACAAAAATGGACAGTCCAAATACCAAGTCCAGATTCTTTACCCTTATCTACATGGATACGCTGGCTGTTAGGTGGACAGCTCAGTACGCTGCCACGATAAATGACCTTATAAGACCTCAGGTAGATAGATGCCTCTCATGGCAAGTGTTACGGACAGCATATCTGGCTGATCCATTACATAAGAAGACTCTGTAAGGACGCTTCCGTGACTGCTAAATCTTACACTAACTGACCCCCTTCACACGCACGCACACACACACACACAAACACACACACACACACACACACACACACACACACACACACACACACACACACACGTACACACACATACACACACATACATACATACACACACATACACACACACACACACACACACACACACACACACATACACAGGCGTGCGCGCACAGGGGAAACCGTGCACACATGGACATATTATATACACACAAACACTCACATTAAAAAATGTATATGTATATTACATATTTGTACGCACACATACTCAAACAAACAAACACACACACATACATACACACAGATAAACAAACACAAACACTCATGTGATACATGTTATTATATAAAATCTGTTTAATTTTGAGTCCATCATCATGATCTCTAAATTTTATATAAACATCCAAACATTCCAATAAAAAAAGGAACCAGGTCCTGAGCTGCTCAAACATGTAACTAACTTTAAATTTAAATTTGTTTTATAAAAGAAACATACGCCATTAACTTACTTTATAGCATTTTGCAAATTACACACCAATTTGGTCGACACGGTCACATTTCTTTCTCGTAGCACCCAAACCCACCATCTGCCGAGACGCAGTTCTTTTCCTGCGCCGCAAACTCAGATTGAAGCATAGGCAGTATCTAAACAGTCACGCGCTTACCGACATCTTTCACCACAAAAGAAAGGAGGAGAATTTTGATATCTTCATATTCTGCAAAAGCCTCCTCACACTAACAAAAATGAACAAGTTTGTGATTGCCCTTTCCATTATTGTTGCTTCAATGGTGAGTTATGATATTCAACTAACTTAGTTTAACTTTTAATGGTTTATTTGGATAATGGCTGTTTAACATGGTGAACAGTGTATGCTCATTTTGTCATTTTTTCCCAAGCAGAACTTGGAGACCCAGAGAATAATTAACGGAGAGTCATCACCAACAGGCCATGTATTATGACATTACATACACGTAATATGTATGATTGACAGGGCTTCTTACCATTTTTCTATGACATAGGATCCGTTTCTAATATTTTGCACTTTCTTTTTAAAAAGACGTATAAATGAAATGCGCAGCGCTACCCCGCCTGTTTTCGAAGGGCACACCAAAGCTCTATCCGATACGATTAATACAGCCAAACTTCGTTGTACCGCTCCCCGTTATACCACCAGCCCCGCTTACCGCCACGTTTTGCCATTGTACGAAAAGGGGCACCTATGTAAACATAGTATTTACTCCTTCACTCCGCCATCCGCCACCTGTCTGAGTTGTACGATCCTTTTTTAACCGTTTAACTAATATATGTCTGCCCCGTTATACCACCGGCGAACTGACCGTCAGGGGTACACACTGCACATAACATCCTCTGCTTGGCTACCTGATAATCTTTCTTCCATGAAAAAGACAGCGATAGATAGATAAATAGATAGATAGATAAAGAGAAGACTCTCGGGTACGAATACAGGTGCGTGTACATGCATATCACCAACAAAAATGCTTTTCAAACACAGATCGTACAACAGGATCATATAATTCTTTGACGCTGGGCCGTCGGAGCTATACAACAAAGGAACCCCGTTGAATCGCCAGCCCGACTGTTCCGCCAACTTCTTTCCAAATGTGGCGGTATAACGAGGTTTGGCAAAAAAGAAAATCACACTCAAGGCATTAGGCTAAGAGTTTCGTGGTGTAGGATTTAGGCGCTTCGCCGTCTCATGCATAAGACCTGAATTCAATTTCTCTGTTTAACACCGAGTATCTCTGTCTTTCTGTTGGGACGTTGTACCTCTCTCAACCTGGGCTGGCCCCTAAATTCATCATTATCATTGCCTGGATCTGGATATAGGCCACGAACAAACACTTTCCATCTTTCCCTGTCCTGGGCTAGTTGCTTGTTGTCATTCCATGTCTTCCCATTCTTCTGTACATCAATTTCCGTGGCTCTTCTCCAGGTTCCACGTGGTCTTTCCCTTGTTGATCTTTTACCATGTGGGTTCAAATCTAACACTTTCCTTGTTATCCAGCTTCTTGACTTCCTGAGAGTATGTCCATTCCATCGCCAATGCCTTCTTCCCACCTCATCTCTGACTGGGCTCTGTCTCGTTCTTCTTAATACATGTACTTCCTTGTTGGTGACCCTGTCTGTCCATCTGACCCTCAGCAACTTCCTTAGACACTTGTTCAAGAAAACCTGGATCCTTTTCATGCAAGTCTGAGATGGTGGCATAAAACCCGTATAAAAAATAGAGCCTCGTCTGCAAAGGGACCCATTAATATCAAAGAATGTGTAAACTACTTCAATGCAAGGCCCGATAATTTTTGGGGCGTTTTTTGTTTGTTTTTGTTTTGGTAAGTGTTTTACGGGGCTTGCCTCTGCATACGTTCACACGCGCGCTAGGGACACATTAAACATTTTCGGTCTGGTAGGGATTAATTTCGAATTTCGCCCGGGTGGCAGTCGAAGCCTACTCTTGTCGATTTTGGACCACCAAGGGATCTTTGAGGTGTACAATTTGCACACGGGACCTCCAAGATTTCCTACCCTTATCCGAGAAGGCAAGTTGTTGGATCTTACCTACCCTAAGATCAGGGGTGTGGCCGAAAGACAAGTAGGAAGGAAAATGGTGAAATGGTATGGGTTTAACGCCCCTATCAACACTAATAGGTTATTTAAGGGGTGGGACCTCCCAGTTTAACGTCCGTCTCCGATAGGACCGAGCCAAGTGGAAAATTCGTGTAAAGTGCCTTTGCCAAGGACACTACATCGGACCGAACTGTGGCTCGAACCCCTGAACCGCAGTCTCACGATTACGAGTCCAGTAGCTTAACAACTAGACCATCGACGCCACAAGGTAAGAAGGAGCCAAGAAGTAGTAGTAGAAAGGTTGCAGAAAAAGTCATGAGCCCAGAGGAGGGGACAAAAGGAGGGGGGGGGGGGTGCAGAAAGTGGAGACGAAAACAGATGGCAGAACATGGTTAGAGAGCAGGAAATAAGGTGAAAAGAGAAACTATTAGAAAAGAAAAGTTTCCGTCGCTGTCAGGTTTCGAACCCGGGACCTATTGAATGAGAGGCTAAAACCGTAATCTCTGGACCACGAAAACATTTACCAGAGATTCGAGTAATGAAGCAGTTCTTGGAGTAAAAGCGCATTCTTGCATTTCATAATTCTTAGTTTTTGGCATTCGAATTCACCGAGAGGGCTCTCGTGGTCGAGAGGTTACGGTGTCCGCCCCTTTTTCAATAGATCCCGGGTTTGAATCCGAGCAGCGACAGAAAATTTTCAGCGGCAAAAAATGTTCTTCGTTCACCTCCTTTCCTGCGCTAAAGCCATATTCTGTCGTCTATTTTCGTCTCCATTTTCTGTCCCCCGTTAGCCCCCCTCCTCTGGGCTCCTGACTCTTTTTGCAGCCTTTCTACTGCTACTTCTTGGCTCCTCCTTGCTGCTTTCTTTCAGCCACACCCCTAATCTTATGGTAGGTAAAATCTAACACATAGCCTTCTCGAATTAAGTAAAAAAATCTCGGAGGTTCCGTGTGCAAGTTTCGCACGTTAAAGATCCCTTGGTTGTCTAAAATCGATAAGAGTAGGCTTCGGCCACTGCTCGGGCAAAATTCAAAATTTCCTATCAACTGAAAATGTTTAATGTGTCCTGCGCTCCCATAGGACCTTATACAGTTGCGAGCGCTGTAAAACACACACACACAAACAACAACACCCCCCCAACAAAAACATACACACACACACACACACACACACACACACACACACACATACACAAACACACACACACACATACACACAAAACAATCCAAAACAAACAACAAAATAATTCATTTAAAGCCACTTTTTATTTATTTTTTAGATGTTTGGTTTGGCGCTCATATGACCTTATGCAGTTGCGAGCGCCGTAAAACCCTCTACTATAAATACCAAAAAATAGATGTTCGGTGACGTCGTTGTCGCCTCTCAACCGACAGCCCAATAACCATCGACACAATAGACCCCACAATGCGAGCGACAGTGAGCGGATTTCACGGAGACGACCTCTTTAGTTTTGGAAAACACTTCACTGTCCTTCACATTCTCAAAGAATTTTAAAAAATTCCTTCAGCCACTCGAACATGATGGTTTAAGTCAGAAAAAAGTAATTACCTGCCTTTGGTGATTAAAAACAAACCGTCTTAGTGTGCAGAAATTAGGCCAATTAATCAAAAGCAGACCAGTTGCTTAGATATTATTGCTTAGATTGCCTTTTATCAGCAAGTGACTAACATTAAGTCGAAAAATGGTGTCAGTTAGAATTAAGCACCTGTGATCAGGTACGGCGTATGCAAATAATCAAATCCCATAAAATATAAACAATTTTTAAAATTGTCAGTATTATATTCAGTCATGTTATTTGGTATTCCACGGGTGTCGTTCAGGTAGCATCCTTTCGCTCTATAATATATTTAGTGGATGGAAACGTCCTCATAAAAAAGAAAGAAAGTGGAACTCGGATTCGACGAGGTCGTTGGGTCTGCCGAGTGTTCGTTACAGCAAATACATGTATGTGTAAATAATTATAGTGTAGGACAGGCACCGAGCAAGTAATGTATAATGTATTCGACTTTCTTAATCAAAAGTATACTCTTCAAAAAAAAAGAAACTTGACACTTGGTAAATTTTGAATATTAGGAAACGCAAAACAAAATTGTAAACATTAGGGACAGAGTTTTGTAAAGGATCAAGTGTTGTCGTCAAAACACCAAAAATCACGTGCAGTGCACATCAAAACGTCCGTGTAGGCGAGTTTTTACTGAATCCATACTGGCGGCCTTTCTCGTGCACAGCAGTGGACTGCAATTCAACATTATGTAACCTCTCTCACTCGTAAAAAAAAGCTACAACACCCACGGTTCACACAGTCCATGTAACACAACCGTAGACAACTGAAAAGTACCAAGGTTGACTGATGCTGAGCGCAATAATGCAGTCGGACGATTGGAAATAGGGGTGACTCGGCCAGCCGTACAAGGCACTTCGGCGTGTCTAGACAGACCATTGCTGCGTTATGGACACGATACAACGACACCCAAAGTGATAATTATAGGCCTAGGTCAGGTCGACCCAGGGTTACTACTGCGGCCCAGGATCGTTATAATGTCCATGTGGGCTACCTTCGAAATCGAACCACAACAGCAACGTCTACAGCTGCTCAAATCCCTGGACATGGAAACATTTTTGACCAGACATTCCGTAATCGTCTCAGGGAGGCAGGAATCTTTGCTCGAAGACCAGTTCGATGTAACGTGTTGGCCGCTCACCACATGGCAGAACGTCTCCACTGGTGCCAGCACAGAGTAACGGGTGACGGGTGACAGGTACAGGGATGAGATCCTGCAGCCTCATGTTCCATATCTGAACGCTAATGCTGACATTTTGCAGCAGGACAACGCTCGTCCGCATGTTGCACAGCTATGTGGAGACCTGCGTGCCAGAAACCTTCCGGCTCAACCATGGCCTGCCCGTTTCACCAGATTTGTCTCCAATCGAATACTTCTGTGACGAGTTGGATTGACGTGTGTGGCAGAGAAATCTGCCTCCTCAGGCCCTTCCAGAACTCCTTGTGACACTTCAGCATGAGTGGCAAAGCATCACGCAACATCTTATTGCAAAATTGATTGCATCTATTGGTTCCCGATGCCGAGCAGTGATCAACGCAAATGGTGTTCCTAACAGGTACTGACTTTTCATGTACCCCAGTCTGTTTACAAGCTTGTGCAGGACATTCGGTTTGTTTACCAGGGCTAACGTTTTGAACGTGTGTATAGTTATCATCTGCCAGAACTTTGCCTTATTTTGCTCTATTTATTAAGTTCGTTTTATAAAAAAATCCAATTTTAAAAGTGAGTGTCAGGTTTCTTTTTTTGAACTAGTTTGGTTTCAAATGAGTTTTCGTTTATTTTATACCTAAGAAATGCTGGATAATTCCAGGAAAAATATACTGAACTCTACCTAATTACACTTAGCAAAAGGGCAGATTCAGTCAAATGCGTGCCTGTGGCATCTATAATCTTAAACGTTTTGTTTGCCAAACAAGCTATGTTGCTGTATAGAGCTTAGCATACGGCAGCGTTTGATTTCACAGTCCAACGCATAATTCATAAAGTTGATCTATGTCAAGACTAGCTTATCATTGTAACGTTGACCAGTATCTGTGCAGAGGTCAAAAGGTGACCTACTTTATATATACCTAACTTAAAATCAGATATTGTGACAATTAGTTTGAAAATCCATATAAAACACATATTTTGTGTCAACAAAATACTAAATAGATCATTGTAATGATCTAACCGTTGCACACTTACTGTGAAATGATTAAAACACAAGTTTTTTGAAAAATATGGTCTTGATTTTGGAATCCATGTTTGTAAAGGTCAATGAGTGTAAACAAACATAAGACTGTGGACCCATAAACAGTGGGTAAAATAAAGAGGTCGTCTCCAGGGCAACTGGTTTATAGCAATATGTATTCAATTTGAGGATGATTTTAAGCTCAAGCACAACTTTGAAAAATGTCAGAGATGCTTATAAATTAATCGCCTGTTTTCCAGTATAGTGTGTTTAGTGACAAGAGGTGTCACGTTTCTTAGGAGTCCTCAATCGATACAATGATTAACCAAATTGAGTGAAAACTAGATTCAATGGGAGAAATAATGAAACTTTATATATATATCTTGAAAAGATAGCTGAGATGTGTCTGTATCTATTGAACTTCTACTCCCGGATCGCTTGTGCTCCCTCCCTCCCTCCCCTCAGACACATGCACACACAGTCACATGTGTGCTGGCCGCCCGTCCGATCTCAACATGCGCTAAGACATGTGTACGTGCTGTTTTTGGTATGAAAGTAGGCCGCTTATTGGTCGCATGAGGCAGTCACCCTGCAAACGGCTTCACTGAATCCGAACTTTCTCATTTATATGTTCGTTGAATCCGAGTTCGTTGAAACAGAGTTCTATTGTAGGCCCTACTACAGCCAATGACGTTTTAACTGAGATCTCGGTACTGCTTGCTGTGGGCAACGGAGGGAGATATCGGGAGGATATGGGTGGTGGGATGAGGGGCTCTGGGATTAGGATGGGGTCGGGAAGAGATAGGGGAGTGTGTATGAAGGTGTGTGCGCGCGCGCGCGCACGTGTGTGTGTGTGTGTGTGTGTGTGTGTGTGTGTGTGTGTGTGTGTGTGTGAGTGTGTGTGTGTGTGTGTGACGGAAATGAAGACAACAAGAAATGTGAGGCTGCGTGATAGAATCAGGCGCTCGTAAATTCTTGGACATATGGAGTTATTGGTGCAATCTTAAAGCCTGTTCATTTGTCTATCTTTCGGTGAAAAAAGTACCCATCTATCTTTAATAGAAGTTGAAATATTTGTGATTGAAGTAAGTAGGGTAACGTGATTTCAGAAGAAAGTTAAGGGAGAAAATGACCGCCAAAGCTTGGTATCTTTCAATGCGTGAGAGTCCTTGAAAACTGAAAATTTACATTTTTTGTACCTATAATCAACGTTTATCGGGATATTCCTCACAGAAATGTTGTTTTTTTAAAAAATGGACATAAAAGCTGTTGAGCTTAAAAACAAAAATTTGATGAAAATTGCCAAACGGGCAGAAAAATGCAAATATCTTTGATTTAATCATTTTGACGAGAGCCTGATTCCACCACGCTGTCTCACAAATGTTCTTTTTCGACAACACGTAATACGATTTATGTTACACAGGAATTCCCTTTAACCCATCGTCCAACCTGAGAGCCCGAGACAGTCTCGGGCCAGGCAGTTAAGGATTTTTAAACTCTTGAAATAATAAACTAAGCAAAAACAAAATTAATCTTATACGAAACTAGTGTTCTAATTTATGTCAACTTGTTTCTGTTATGTATGGTTGTGAAAGTGCTTCTTTATGTGGTTGATGAACTGGTTTTTCTTGTTATTGTGAAATATTCTATACTCCTCCGGGGGATGCTACTGACTGAAGTGTCTTCAGGCCATCCCCAAAGAGGTGGACATTAAAATCTCGAGTTCTTATGCACAGTAGAATTGTAATTATAAGTGGGCTTCTTCATCAATGTCATGCTCATACTGTGCCTGAACTGCAACAGGGAACCGCTGTTTTTTTTCTTTCCTAATCTTTACTATCGTCATTTCCCTCTACTTCTTTTGTGTGTTTGTCACACTCTAGTGACGTACTATTTCCGGGGTGCCTTGATAGATCTAGTCGAAGTAGATTTTGTGCTGTTGAAGCTAGAGAGGTGAGCAGAGAAGTCTGATTCCCTGTAAGGACTTCTCTGTTGACATCCACCCCTTGTCGCTTACATGAACTTATGCAGTTGCGAGCGCCGTAAATCCTCTACATACTAAAACAAACAAACAATGAAATATTTTATCATGTGTGGATAGCTCAGTGATCATGTGATTGATGTAAAGCGCTCAGAGCTTATACTAGTATGGGATGGAGCGCTGTATAAATGCTATCAGTTGTTATTGTCATTATTATTATTATTATTATTATTATATGATTATTATTATTATTATGATGATGATGATGATGATGATGATGATGATGATGATGATGATGATGATGATGATGATGATGATGATGATGATGATGATGATGACGACGATTATTATTTTCATTATTATTATCATCATCATTATTATTATTACTTTTATTATTATTGTTATTATTATGTCTCCTCAGCTGTACGCACAGACAAGGGCGGCCGTCGCGTGCTCTACTAACGCGGACTGTCCCGGTGGCTGTTGCGCCTACACCAGGACTGGGCACGTCTGCAAAAGCCTGGGGAAGAAGGGGGACGTATGTGATCTGGAGGGGAAAGGTCTGGCCAAAGACGTGTGTGTATGCGAGACAGGTACACATTCTCAACATATCTTTTTTTTAGCTCTCAAAGGAGTGCACTCGTCGAATAGATATATAAAATGATAAATAGTCCATTTAGGCGGGGCATCTGGTACAGGAGTAAGAGTTGAAAGGTAGGAAGAAAGGGCGTGGGGATGGGGGTGCTACCACTCTCGAGTTTGAAGAATGCACACATAGTAGTTCTACACGATATGACATATATAAAGAGGGGCATACCAAAAGTTTTTTTTTTTACCTGATCATGAAGGAATAAAGGTAAAAAGCTTAAATTTGGTTCTACGCTTAGTCTTTCTTTATGTAGTCGCCTCCCACAGTTATACATGTTTGCCATCTGTGTATGACCTTGAAAAGACCTTGAGAATAGAGGACCCTCTCTATGTCAGAAAACCAGCCCTCTACCGCTTCTTTGACCTCATCATCACTTTTTTACACCAAAATTTAATCACAGCGTAGGATGGGCAATCGGTTCTATATACGGCATGCATCTCCGTAAAAATATCCTGTAGTTGCTTGCCTTGCAAGAACAAATACTTCATTATTGTCCTGCGCTCAATTTTCTCCATTTTTATGTTGAAACTGGAGAACAACATACCCCCATTCACTTACAGTCCGCTGGTGGTAAAACCAGTAATCTGAAATCCCCCAAAACTTACAAGCATTCAAGGAAGGTGATTGTTGGCTTTCACACCAAATTTCAGCTTTCTACCTTTATTCTTTCATGGTCAGGTAAAAAAAACTTTTGGTATGCCCCTCGTATGTATATAAATGATAATTAATTGGCATCTCCCTCTGCTTTTTTACATTATGATATCACTGTGTAAGAGGTCCAGCTGTCTAATCTAAGACGACCACTTTTCTCCTCGACAATGGGTGGTCGTCTTATGATTACTGTATTTTGTTCAACGAAAGGACAACGCGGTGAGATGACAGAATTTTTATTTTCCAGAAGAGATCATTCATAATTATTTTAATAAACAGATTGAAAGCGATTTGGTTCCGAATCTCAAACTAAAACAGCATCATTTTACGTTCCATATTCAATGTCTTGACAAAGGACAACTAGTTCATTAATAACAGGACAGAAAATATTCAAACATTGATTTGGGACACTGTACCCAGTCCATTCCTAGAACAGGTAAATCCAATATTACTTGCTTGGAAAAGCACAAAACACGCAGACACAAAGGCAGACACTCATACTATGCCCATCCCAGCACACAAAGAGAGTGATAGAGACACATGCATGTCTAAATGAGGAGAGAGAGAGAGAGAGAGAGAGAGAGAGAGAGAGAGAGAGAGTGGGGGTGGAGGGTAGGGTTTGAAGACCATTCAGCACTCGTCAAACCCAGTCCTTGGCTGACTCCAACTCCAAGCCTTGCACTTGACTTGTTCTACGAACGTACACATTGTTTCACCAGCTTATGTCATCAGCGTTCATTTCAAGCACATAATGGTATTGTTATTCTCTTTTGTTTTCACCGGCAGTCCCATCTCGCTTGTAGACAAAGAAAAAACATTGAGAGCTTACTTTTAACAGGAGAGGATCGGAACATACATCAGCGGGAAAAAGATACTCAATTTCTTTTTCCCGGCGGTGACATTTTCGTCGTGGATCGATCGGATATAACACAACATTCTGCTTGTTGGTTGGGTTTGATTGCCGCGGTCATAAGTTAGAATTGTTTCTTAAATTAAACTTTAATGCGATCAATTATCTGAGCTCGTCGCATTGGCATAGGTCAGTATATTTCCGGACCCTTGACTGAGATCGGATTGGAGAATGGTAGCCTAGGTTTCTTCTCAACTTGGGTGAGGGAAAATAAGTTTAGATAAAGAGCTGTTTTCATCCTTACAGTCAAAGTCAAATTTGAATAACTGTAGTTCAGTACACGATGTCAGCTCTGGCTCAACCGAGAAATGGGTTGCTCTTTACTCATTTATAGAGGGTGTTCCCAGCAACGTCTCTAGGTGTGTTTGCATGACATTTCATGTCAGGGCGATCCTCCTCATGACGTCACACTCTGCTTCAACACAGGTTGGAGACTCTGGACTTTGGGACTGTCTAATAAACTCTGTCATATGACGTCATAGAAAGGCTCAGAACACATATAACGTGACAGAGATGCTCAGAGCTCATATAACGTCATAGAGATGTTCAGAGCTCTTATAACGTCATACAGATTCTCAACGCCATTAGGCCTATAGACTTCCTTCTTGGCTAGAGTGTCTACAAAACCAAGCACAAACTCATGAGGTCACAGGTGTGCTCAGTGCAGGTAGGAGACGCCGGACTGCAGCCCCGCGGCGGCGTTGTGCAGTGAGAAGGGCGAGATGACCCCCTGAGGCACCATGGGGCCCCGCGGGAAGCCGCTGTACAGACTCACGGGGAAGCCCATGCTCAGCAGCGGAGGCATCATCGGCTTGGCTGCCATCCTCAGCTTCTCCAGCTCCGCCTCCTGCAGTCTCTTGGCCTTGGCTCGCCGGTTCTGGAACCAGATCTTCACCTGTGGGGGGGATAATTGTGATGGTTTGAGTTTGAGTTGGCGTTTGAGTTTGGGTTTGGTTTTGAGTTTGGATTTGGGTTTTGGGTTTGGGTTTGGGCTGGAGTTGGAATTTGAGTTAAAGTAGGTGTTTAACGGCGCTATCGACTCAGATTTGTTCATTAAAGCGCAAATAATCTGGATAAAATGAATACAAAATAGATAGCATTTATTGTTTAGCGCTTACCTCAGCCCAACAAAATGATCTCTGCGCTTTACAATCTATATAATTACCATAGGAGACCCTAGAATACTTTAAAATATTCTCTGCTTCCCAGGAGGCATACAGGTAGAAGAAATACGCCAATATTTTGCTATTTCTATTTTTCTATACGATTTTTAAAAAGTTTCTTTGAGAGTGGCTGACACAGTCGAACATGGCCACCTGTCCAAAACGATCACATGTCCAAATGGCCAATTCCCATTTCCCCCTTTACTTTTTTTCTATGATCATGACACTGCCCAAGACGTTCTTCAGTCTAAGACAACCTTTTCTCCCCTACAATGGGCGGTTGTCGAGGGAATTCGACTCTATTCAGTTTTTCTAAACCTAAGATTCATGGGGTAAGACATGCCAATCTATATCATTAGCTTTCAAAGCAGAAAAAATGAGACCATTGACAGACGTGGCTGGTAACATCAGGTAGTTTGAGTTTCAAGACCGTTTCAACTCAATTGGTGATTTTTTAAAGTGTTCCATAAACAAACGGCTACGTCTTACTTGTGTGATACTGACGCTATATGGTCGTAGCAAAGCTTCAAGGGCATCTGTTTGTTTCTTTGGTTGTTTTTCTTTTTCAGGTATAGATATAGTGAATTTAAATAAAAGGGCAGGCAATCTAATATTTTTAAATTGTCCAAAAAATATTTTCTCAAAGTTCCAGTCCTGCCAACATAAAGCAATGAACACATTATATCCAGCAGAAAATCTTTCCTGTTAATTATCCTCACGGCAAAGTTTGAGAACGGAAAGGAAGTTAAAGATGAAAATAAAGACAGAACAAAAGAAGGAAGAGACAAAACGCCAAATAGAATACTTAGTACACAACTGCAAATTAGCCTAGATGTTCATTGTTAGACTGAAGGTTTGTGGCTCACTGTGGTCAGTAGTAAATAACAAGAACAACACAGCAACAGTAACATACACATTTTTTACGGTAGTGGGATTTTTGAAGTTTTTAATTTTATCTGTCAACAGCAACCACAGAAACAGCAGCAAGATAACAGAAACGGCAGCAATAACAAAAAGCAACAACAGCAATAATAATAACGTCAACAACAACAACAACAACAACAACAAGCATGAATCCAGAATGGCAACAACAACAATTTCTAAAAAGCAACAACAACAACGTCAGCAACAAATACAGAACCAGCATGTCTCCATAACGGAAACAACAACAG